ATTCACACTTATTATCTGCACAAGTTATTTTCAACTGGTCTGCATGTCTACGGACAATAAGTCCATCATTTGTTTTTACTTTATAAGACACAGGTCCTGTACATTGAACAATTTGACCTGGTATCCATTTTTCCTTTCTCCCATAATTTCTCAGATACACATTATCATTAACTGCAAATTCTCTTTCAATGAATGTTTGTCATGATTTAATGGAACTATTTTTGAATTGGCATCTGGAAGTATTATGCTGTTATTCAGATCCTTAACTGACATAGATTTCTTTGATTGATCAATTTTCTCAGGTAATCTGATAGTGCTTTCCTGGTAACCAAAAATACTGTTTATGAGTAATATTCTGGACCATATCACTTTGCAACTGTGATCCAGTATTTGAAGTGGGTGTATTAAATGGCAAAAATCTTTTTTCTTTTTTTTTTGATGTTACCCTTTTAGTTTCTGTAAGTGCTAATGATGTTAGCAAAGTTGTTTGATGATCACATTCCTTCTTACTAATGTATTCTCTTTAAAACATTTGAAATTGCCATATCACCATAATCATTTATTAAGTTACAAGTACTTTGATCAGGCAACTCTGACTGATAATGGACTGTATCTTCTCCATCTTTATATTATCTTCACAAAGGGTTTTATTTCTTATTTAATATGGCCTTAAGTCATCATTCACAGACTCTTCAGGCCAACCATTCTTACAGTACTCATATACTTTTATTAAGCACTCATCTTTTTGTGTTTCTCTCTTAATATCATTCACATTTATATTGGAGTTATCCATGATAGTGAAGAGAACAAATACATCTTCTGGTACATAGCTCAGGCTTTGGTTTTTTAAAGGTAATCTACTGAGACTATCTGCACTATTCTCAGATCCAGGTTTGTATTTCAATTCATAATTGTATGCAGTTAGTGTGATAGCCCATCTTTGAATTCTTGGTGAGGCATGCTCAGGTAGGGTTTTGTTTTCTCCAAATAAACCTAGCAATGGTTTATGATCTGTAAAGATGGTGAACTTCCTACCAAACAGAAACTTATGAAATTTCTTAACACCAAAAATGATGCCTAAGCCTTCCCTATCTAACTGAGAATAATTTTTCTCAGCCTGGTTCAAAGATCTACTGGCAAAAGCAATGGGTCTGTCACCCTTCTCATCCATGTGGGACAAGACTGCTCCTACACCATCTGGTGAAGCATCACATGTTAATATAAGTCTTTTCCCTGGGTCATAGTGAGTTAGTAAGGTGTCAGCAGACAAAGCCTCTTTTGCTGTATTAAAAGCAGCTTGTTGTTGTTTACCCCAGTGCCAAGTTGCATTTTTCTGTAGCAGCTTGTACAGTGGTGATAGTTTACCAGACAGATTCCCTATGAACTTTGCATAGTAATTTATCAAGCCCAAAAAAGCTCTTAGTTGTTGGGTATTTTCAGGTTTGGGTGCTTCTTTAATAGCTTTTGTTTTCTCAGGTTGAGGTCTGATGCCTTGTTTGCTCAATATATAACCAAGAAAACTAATTTCTGTCAGCATGAATTGACATTTATCTTTGTTTATCTTTAAACCTTTTTCACCAACAATTTTTAATACTTTATCAAGTGTTTTAAGATGTTCAGTGTCATTCTTACCAGTTATGTACACATTGTCAAAGTACACACAAACATTTGGAATATCCTTAAAAATACTGTCCATGACAGCTTGGAAAATTCCAGGGCTGGATGATATGCCAAAACATAGTCTTTCATATTGGTAGAGTCCTTTATGTGTGTTTATTGTCGTATAGACTTTTGAATCTGGATGCAGTTCTAGTTGAGTGTAAGCATGACTAAAGTCTAATTCAGTGAATTTGTCTCCTCCTGCCAAATTCAAAGAAATTTCCTCAATGTTAGGTATAGGGTACCTATTTAGCTCTATTTGCTTATTCAGTGTAGTTTTATAATCTCCACAAATTCTTATAGAACCATCCTTCTTTAACACTGGCACAATGGGTGTCGCCCAATCGGAATAGTCTACCTTCTTTATGATGCCATTAGATTCCAATCTACTTAGCTCATTTTCAATTTTGTTCCTCATTGCATAAGGTGGAACTCTAGCTTTGCAGTATCTTGGATTTGTGTCTTTAATGCTTAACTTCACTGTTCTATCATTTAGTAAACCTGAGTTACCAAAAACACATTTATTTTCAGATATAACTTTATCTAGTGAAGTAAGACTAGATTCTTTTACATTCTTCAATGAACAAATACTCTCCCAATTTAACTTAAGATCACTTAACCAGTTCCTACCTAGTAATGGCGGTCCATTTCCTTCAACCACAAGAAGAGGAAGTTTAACACTTTGACCATTATAACTTACATGAACCATACACTCTCCTATTACCGGAACATTGTCACCAGTGTATGTTGTTAGACACTTGTGACACGGCTGTAGAGACACTGATCCTCCTGTGACAGCGTCAAAATCTTTCTTTGTGATGACTGTTAGTGATGCTCCAGTGTCAAGTTGGAAGCTGATGCTCTTACCGTTGATATTAACTTGTACATTGATGGGAGCATGACTTATTGATTTCACAGAGAACAGGTTGAAATCCGGCTGCGAATCAGTTTGAGCATTTTCACAGGTAGAGTGGTTCATTGGTTGGGTTAGGTAGTCTTGGTGAGAGTTAACATAGTGCTGCCTTTGGTTGCGGTACTGTCTTGACTGGCTAGATTTAGCAACAGACGAAGACTTTGCAAAGCAGGCCTTGGCAATGTGACCTTGCTTACCGCACTTATAACAAGTTGCTAACTTGAACTTGCACCGATGAGATGCATGGGGACCTTTGCATCGATGACATTTTTGATAATTATTACTAGATTTAGATCTAGGATTTGAACGAGCAGGGTGTTTAGCATAAGTTGGAATGCTCTGTTGGGGTTGATGTTTATTGACTAACCTGCTGTTTACTGCATGGATCCCTGAAGGCGTTAGAGATTTCGCCGCATCTGATGACTGCTGGTATGAAGTTGCAAGTTGTATTGCTTTTTCCAATTTTAGATCTGACTCGAGCAGCAACTTTCTTTGAATATCAGGGCTGTTTACACCTGTCACAAACTTTTCACATAGTCTGTCAGACAGCGTTTCTCCAAATTCACAGAATCTACTTAAATGACGTAAGGCAGCAACATATTCTGATATTGACTCGTTTGGTTGACGAGTCCTACCGTCAAATCTAGCTCGACATAGAAACTTTGATGGGGTAGGCGCATGGTGGTCTGTTAGCAATTTGCTCAGCTCGTTAAAGCTCTTGGTAGTTAGACTAGCTGGTGCGCATAAGTCTTTTAGTAGCCTAAATTGTTGAGGCCCTATGACTGTTAACAAAATAGCTCTCTTTTTGGCTTCTATCGTCACGTTGTTTGCTTCTAGGTAAAAGCTTAACCTCTCTAGGTAATCTTGAATGATTTCATCATTCGCATCAAATTCTTTTATTTGGCCATACAGCGCCATAATTCTAGAAATAATTAGCTAATAAGCTCTAGCAAACCTCTTTTTTGCGTAAGTAGGTGCTCTTTCTAGTAGATGTTTATCCTTCGTCGCCAGTTATAATAGATTGACGACAGAAGCCTGTGGTTGTATATAACACCTTTAATGGGTCTAACTATTTCACGATGGTAACACAGAGAGAGGGCGGAAGGAAGTACACAAGGGACATCACTCAAGATAACAATATTATAAATATAACTAATACAGAAGAGTGAGTTCCCTTGACCTCACAATTATTTCAATCTATTACACAATCAAAACATTTTCTCTACCTACATACTATTTTACAGCCCCCCCCCCCCCCCCCCCCCCATATAAAGCAGTTTCCTTACAGTACGAAATCAGACAAACAAACACAAAAAAAAATATTCAAGCATGTAAACAAAGTTGAGTTTTAGTAGTATATAGATGTGTAGACATATACATATTTATATTAAGAGAGTGATTATTTCCCCTTTTCGCTTGTCTTAATTAATGTCCCAGAAATTATTATGTAATTCTTTTTACAAGGATTACAAAAACAGATTATGTTGCGTTCATTGTTTTTTGTTGTAGTTTGTGTATATATTTTTTTTTGTTTAACTTGATACATTTTTTGTTTTGTCGGCCTACATTTTTTGTTTTATCGGCCTACATTGTGTGTGTGTTTTTTTTTTATTTCTTCAGAGTGCTACTTTCAATTTATTTTACATCATAGCGAAGCAATAACATACAGCTAATATATATATATATATATATATATATATATATATATATATATATATATATATATATATATATATATATATATATATATATATACAGCTAATATGTGTGTGTGTGTGTGTCTGTGTGTGTGTGTATTTATATAGAAGATATTACAAATTCGGCGCCTTTTTTGCTATTTTCGCTCCCCCTACACCGGAAACCTGGACACGTTCTGAGAAGATATTTTACTTACATGTGAAATTCATTTATCTATCACAAACAGTACTCAAGTTATAGTCTTTTGAAAACCTAAAAGTAAAATAGGTTCCACTACTGGTTATCGGAAATCGCTGGAAAGTTTATACAGAACTACAAATTTGTTATAATACTTATATGTGACATTTCATCAACTTAGCTCGGGGTTGGCGTGGTCGAGTCGGTAAAGCTCATGGTTGCTAAACCGAAAAGTCTAGAGTTCAAACCCTCGGGCAGATGAGGCTCGTTAGCTGGGGACAGCCACTCTTCTAGGAGAGACTACTCGAAAATCAAACAACTGCTGCCTTGTAGTTTGGTAAGACAAAAGCTATGGAAGCAAATGCAAAAAGAAAAGCAGGCTGAAGGTGGAGCCAATTGCCTCAATGGTGCATAACCAGTTGACACGTATACTAAAGGGGATCCCTTCAGACGATAAAATTAAGAACGAAGAAGAAGATCAACCTAGCTGTAACGGTACTCAAGTAATTAAACAATATCGTCGGTGATTTTGACTTTCGCAAATACAAGAAAAAACATATTTCAGTTTTATTTCACAATCATTGTAACACGTTTCATGAGTTTAGATAGAAACTTGTAAATTGAGTCTTTAAAAAGAAATGTTTTCTTTTTACCCTATTTTACTTTTTTAATGGATATACATTATTTTAAGTATATTATTTATTATATCACATTTTCATAAACTTTTATATTGTATTTCAGTTTAATTGTATAGAAAATCATATTTGCACTTGACCTGTAAAGAGGCACATATCTCAACAAGTTTAATAGCTTATCAAGTGTAAGTTCTGCCCTCCTCCAAAGTTAGAAGCAGGTGGACTGTGTTTTCTGACAGACTTTCTAACAACGCAGTCAAAGTGTTGTGGTTTTTCTTTCATGTGGATTCGATTAGCGAAAGACAAATCATTCCTGTAATACGCCAGTTGCTGGTTGTCGTCCATGGGTTGCCTCTCCTCGCCAGGTAACTCAATCTCCAAATACAAATCATCTTCTCGAAAGTCTCGTAAACCTCCTTTCATGAAAAGTTCATGTTTTGTCTGTAGTACAAAAATTGTTAAACTGTGTAAGTTTTAAGCTCTCTTATGGTAAATTGAAAACAAGCTTAATAAAAAAAAGGATGTCTTAAATTAATTTGTTATTATATTTATGATACATTTATTAATATATATGAAGAGATCCACGCATTTTTTGTTATTTAAATAGTAGCGTATTGTTATATATTTAAAGAGAATAATTTATTTTCTCCTTTTCAATGCATTATTACATTATTATTGTATTATTATGACCCACTTGCCAAGTTTGAAACGAATCGGTCAGTTAGAAAGTGAAACATCGGTTTATAACTTAGGCTTGATGAAAAAAAATGTATTCACGTTCTTTGAATTTGCAACTTTTATAACATTGATTTTAAAAATATTAAAATTAAATTTCTAAATTATCTTTTATAACATTGATTTTAAAAATATTAAAATTAAATTTTTAAATTATCTTTAGGCTAAAGTTTTTATTTTTTTATTTTTACGGCTGCTATGAAGTTAAAATATTAATCAAAACGAATGGTAACAATTTCAACAATAAAATGGAAAAATTCTTGTCCACTCGCTAGTGTCCATTAAATAAAAGCTTGTAAAAACTAATTCAGCAGCTCTCGTGTTTAACCAATTGATCCATCTGCCACATTGGGTAGAACGTTGTTGTACCATCAGGGTATACAACTTCACACTCTATTCCGACTTCTTCTGAAACTGTGGGAAAATAAAACAATCTTGTTTGAAAATAGAGCTTAATTTGATTATTCTATTATACACGCTTAGAAATTTTTCAAAAATTGGGTTTTCTTTAAACTGTTTCAGTAGCATTAAAACATATCTTCATCTTGTAAAGTAAATCTTAGTACACTGCTTAATTTACTTACATTTTCCTGTAACGATATCCGGCCGCATTAAATGTACTGTGTAAATTATCATGTCACCAAAAACAACAGCAGTGATCGTTAAGCCGTTGCCAACGACAACAAATCTCTCTGGCTCGGTCACAGTCCATGTCCCAATAGAGACCTTTTTTGGCCCACCATGAGGATGCGACACAATAACCGCAAGATCTGACTTTCCAGGAAACATTCTATTAATTTTTCTGCTGAGTTTTTGGAATGTCTTCAGATGGTGGTTTAGCTCATCAGCGAGCTTTATATTCTTCGTGTAACATACAAAGATACACCAGTCTTCCTCGCGATTGCTAAATTTGACACTTTTGCCTTTCAGAAATTTTACAGCGTGTCTTGTTTGATAATCGTTATAAAATAATTCCACCGTTGTTTTTGAAGCATCCTTGTTATTACGAACAACATGGAAGGCTGTTGTCACTTCAATTATCGCGCATTTTTTGTAATTTCTTCCGAAATTGTCTGTGGCATAATGAAATTTGACAGCACTCACCGTACCTGTGCCTAGCCTCGACGTGTCGTTTTGATCGACTCTTACTTTAATTCTTGTTGTTAGATTCGACAATCTTATAATATTGAGATAAATTTCTCGAACTTGATATTGTTGAGGTAGATCATAAATAGTAAACTCATTTATGGGAATAAAACTCTCGTGTTTATGTGTGCAATTCTGGAATTGGTTATTCTGGTATGCGTTTCCTTTAAACCTAGCATCTGCAAAATAAAACAAGTTACAATAATATAATTTTTCCTGTTTCCTCTAACATTATTGTTTTATTTATTTATTTATTTATTTGCTATTTTTTCAAATTTGCTGTAAGGAAGAAAATGTGCAATGTAAGACCTCTCGCTTTTAAATGAGGTTTGTTTTAATTCACTTTTTCCTAGGTTAACATAAAAGCTCTGCACAGGTTTCCTGTGTCACTGAGTAACACATGCATCTCAAATTTTAGACAAAGGAGCAGTAGCGTAGTTACCGTAAAGCTAGCGTAAGCAATTCATAGGGGCCCAAGGCAAATAGGGGCCCTTTTTCCTTCTTTGAATTTTAAACTTTTTTTACATTGGAATTTTAATATTTGTATTATAAAAATAATTTTAAAAAGAAAACGGAAATCCAGTTTCTTTTCTACTGTAGAAGTAATTAAAAAATAAAAAAGGCCCCTAAACCTTTTTTACTGGGGAGGGGGGGGGTATACAAGGCCCATCAGTATTAATAACACTATAGGCATTGTTGCATTGTCGGGCAGGCAGTTGAGAGAATTAGCCTATAAATAAAAATCCTAGCTACGCCACTGCAAAAGAGTTATTACTAAGACTGCTATGTAACAAACCCAATCAATGTGACGTTCAACATGCTTACATCCAAGTCTCATCTACTAATACATCTGTACTTCTAAAGAAACCCTCTGTTTTCGGAAAATCGGCTAATTAAAATTATGTCGTAGTTTCTATATTACTGATGTACTGAGAAGACAAAAAATATATTTTAAAAGTGTGCGTGCATTTTTGTTTATGAACTTTTTTAAACTAGTGAGTTAACATTACATAACGTTTGTCAAACATGACAATGACCTCTGTACATTATTTCGCCCCAATAAAATTGTAAAAAATGTAAAGTTTGCGCACATTGACTCGTAATAAAAATGAAATGAATCAGCTAAATATTATGAAAAAAAAATAATTTTATTGTTGCTGTTTATGTTATTATTTATTAATTAGATTACACATATTTTAATATGTACTTTTACTTTAAATATATGTCACCAAAACACAAAAACATTAAATAAAAAGATAGAGAGATAGCAACTGAAATACCCTAATATTAGATTATACCTTTCATGATGGTTCCTTTATGTTGTTGATTCATCTTTATTTTATGACCTGAAAAGAAATATGTATCGTTTAATAGATATCGCTGCAGTCTTATAAAGACAATGGCATCCACAAATCTTTGTTGTTTGTCTTACTAAGTTGTTTGTATTTATAGTACAGATTTCGTTTTTAGACTAATTCGGACTCTACAGCAGGGTTTCGCCTGGGTTTTATAATTTCATTATTGTTTTAAAAGACTTAAACAGTTAAAACGACATGTGCTTACTTTGAGATCGATACTCATTTCAATTATCAAAATAAATCGGTGGCCTAGAAATTGATTAATGTAAAACTGTTATTAACTTAAATGACAAGGACTACCCAGTTTACCAGTTTTTAAATGTAGCTTCTCTTGCTGTTCGTCCTGTTTTAATAAATTGTGGACAAAATAAACCGGACGCTGTTGGCAGTTATCTGTTTAAAATTATTACCTGATAAGTTTTTATTTCAGCTAATGAATTTTTAATACCCTGATAAACATTAGTTTGGTAAAAAAAAACAGGCATTTAATTTTCTATATTCGAAATGTTTTAACGCCTCATGCTTACAATTTGCTATACAATTAAACATTAAACTTATAAATAACCTATTATTTTATCTTCTGCTCCTTTATGCCCAGCATATTAAACCAAAATAAAATAAATAGAAGCATCCAATAGTAGTGTTGTAGAATTTGCAAGTTGCAACTACTTAAGGTAGATAATTTATTTAACCGAAAATGTAAAAAGAACAGAGTGCCTCATATCAAGGCGACGTTAAAAAGAAGTCACTGACGAGATTTTCGTTGCTATTGTTCTTTGTCCATACTTATGTTGTCTCGTAGTTTTGTACATTCGCCCTTGGCACTTGTCTAATATTTATATACCATTATTTATAAATAATAAAGCCTATAATTACAATTATATAGATACAATATATTGTTGCGTATATATTTATATTAAAATATATATACTTATATTAAACTATGTATATATTTATATTAAATATTACCCAGCATGTTATCAATAATAGCTGTTACCAATGTGCAACGTCAGTTCCGACTTACGTCACAAATATGTAAATAGATGATGATAATTCGTCAAGAAATAAAGGTATTTCATCCATAATCACTTACTACACTTAAACATTTGTAGAAAAAAAAAATCATTAATGAAAGTCCGAATATCGATAAAAAGTCCGAAAGCGAGGCTAATTCTTCGAAGAAATTATTCATTTACTGCGTCTCTAAAATGACGTAAGCAAAAAATTGATACCTATAGACTTTATTTTTATGATTCAGTAAGATTAAATTGTAAATTCCCGTTGTGAAATCATAAACTAAAAATAAAATATCATAAAATATCATGTTCAATTAGAATTCAATGTGAAGATTGTATTTGAAAATTGATATTTTAATTGCTTTGTTTTACTGAAAAAAAAAGTATTTAAAAAAGTTATTTAGTATTTCGACAAATAATGTTACATTGCAGTAGCGTAGCGAGGGAGGGGGGGGGGGGGGGCGGGGGGAGGGGAGGGGACATAAGTCCCCGGGCGCCGACCTTAGGGGGGGGGGCCAAAATGGGTTGGAAAAATAAATTGGAAGGTTGAAGGGGGTGCAAATTGAAATCTTGAGGGGGGTGCAAATCGAAAGTTTGAGGGGAGGAGGTGCAAAAATCGAAATCTTGAGGGGGGGGGGTGCAAATCGAAAAGAGTCGCTACGCCTCTGTTACATTGTAATTTATTTTCCTGGTAATAATCCTGCGATCAAATTAGTAAAAACTAAATTAAATAACAAGATTTAACTGTCAAATTGTTGCATTTTAGTCAAAATTTAATTAATGATATCTAAATCCAATAAACTTACCATCAGAACACAAATTCCAGACGATCGACAGGCAAAGATAACACTGCTTTTGTAGAACGGGATTTCCCCCAAGATCCTATTGGAAAAACCATTACTCTAGACTGACTCGTAAAAATGTGACCAATGAATGTAGGCTTACACATTTGCTTTGTAGTAGTGTGTAGTATTTTATTTCCGTATTCTCTGTTACACTTCAATGTGCTTTAACAATCGTGTGATTAGATTATTCAACAACTATTTAGTACGTTAAAAACTAGGCTGATGCATCTCTACTGCATGATTTAATACTATTTAAAACAATATTGGTTAAAAAATATTTTCTATTTGTGTTTTAAATTAAAGTAAATTTCCCTGAAAACAAATTGGATTAACTAGATGAAATAAATAATATAAAGAATCAGTAACAATGGTTTTTTTTAACTTCATTTAATTTTTTAATTTCCAAAAAGAACATGCAGTTGGATTCAAATCAAAATGAACTATTTAAAGGATTTTTTTAGAAATGGACATAACTCTTTCAAAGGAAAGAAGGCATTGTGTTAAGGTACAAATTACAAGAAAGGGTAATAGCCAGTGTTTCTTCCAGACTTTTCTCTCCGTGGGGGGGGGGGGGGGGGGGGGGGCACTGAAAATTTTCGGGGGGGGGGGCGGTAGACTTTTTGGGGGGGGGGGGCGGACACTGCGGACACTGTTAAAAGTATATATTTTCTATATAAATTACATAATTTCGTTCGGGGGGCGGTAAAAACTCGTAAATTTTTTAGTGCAATGTTATTCTGATCACAGAGCAGTAATGATGATTTATTTAACCACAAAATGGAACCCTCTACCACTGACAATGGAATGTCTTGACGAGTTGTTTAGGGGCGTTTAGGAGATTCTAATAGTTGTTGGCGAGATGTAGCTTTATATAAATAAATACAAAAATGAATAAATTATATATACATATATCTATAATTATAATATATAAATATAATCACACGTATACCACCAAGTAGTATCTAAAATATCTACGCTTAATATTTTTAATGAGAAAAAAATGTGAAATAGTCAATATCATAATATGATATCAATATCATTCATCTGTAGCAGCTCGTCTCTCTGAAGATACAGAGACAATTCTCTTTTCAATTACACCAAAATATGTCTTTCTTATTGTTTCAACCTAACAAGGGGATGCATTTTATTTTTCAGCAATATTTTTCTTCTTAAAAGGAAACATTGTCCGTTTATTGTTATAAGATATTTTAGAGATTATTCCGAACTAATTTTAGACCTCATCTAATTAAAAATAGGCAACAGATATGTATGTTTCATAACACACACAAAACACCAAAACACACACATACATATATATACATATATATATATATATATATATATATATATATATATATATATATATATATATATATATAATCATTAATCACACTGACAAATTTTTAATTAGTTTTTCTGAAAGCTGATGAAACCATTGGACAGCAGATCTGTGTGCTGCTGGCTAAATGCTGTGTTGTCCGTCATTGCTACTTTCTGGGTCTTGTAATTTGCGAACATCGAGAATTTATCGGGATCTGTCCGGTTCCCAACATGGAAGAGATCTTTTTTTATCTGATGACGTGAATACGTTAAATATAATTAATTTTAAGCCAGTCACTGGAGGATTACACAATTCCGATCATATCATTATTTTAAATAATTTCATTAAAACTTGCAAAATTAACCGCCTTTCTATATTTGTGTACGGTAATATGTAATGTAATTATTAACGAATTCGCCGAAAATTTCGTCAAAACTTATAAACCAAACACAACTTGTAACGAAAAGGTATGACTTTAATAACATTTTATATTTTG